TAGCCCCACTAGTTTTGATATTACATGCCTCTCCGTCCCAGTCCTGGTATTTCTTGGAGGCCGCCCTTCCAACTTCTTGCCAGGGTCGGCCCTGCTTAGCTTCCGAGATCTGACGAGATCGGGCTTTCCTGGGCTATCCAGGTCAGGGCTGTTCCCTGTTGTTGGCACGGGAATGCGGCCGACCTCTGCTTCCGTGAGGATTAAATTTTATACAGATTGTGAACAATGCTCCCTCTAAGCTGTGGAGTTTTGTGAGCAGAAAATCTGTGAGCTCCTGGCCTTAAGGCTGTGAGTGAACAATCTGGCTACTGCCTAAATCAGTTTGCTCTGGAGCCCTCCTTCCTGAGCGAAGGCAAAGATGTGTGAGCCGGAGGCTAAGAAACTGTGAGCCGGCTCGCGCTAACTCAGCTCAGAGGGAACACTGATTGCAATGCAGTTTACAGATTAACAGTGCAGCATAAAAGTACTTGCCCTGACCTGGGTGGGCCGGCCAGCCCCGTCTCGTCCGCTCTCGGAAGCACTGGCAGCGCAGTTTGTTTCCCTCGACCACATGGGTAGTTCTGCTCTCCCTGTAATAGCTCACCCTGCAGTTGTTGTTGTTGTTCAGTCGCACAGTCGAGTCCGACTCTTTGCGACCCCATGGACCAGATCACACCAGGCCTTCCTGTCTTCCGCCGTCCTCTGAAGTTTGCTCAATTTCATGTTCGTTGCATCTATGACACCGTCTAACCATCTCATCCTTTGCCGTCCCCGTCTTCTTTGACCCTCAATCTTTCCCAGCATCATGGTCTTCTCCTCCAGGGAGTGCTCCCTTCTCATTGGGTGGCCAAAGTATTTGAGCATCAGTTTCATTATCTGGCCTTCCAGGGAACAGTCAGGGTTGATTTCTTTTAGGATTGACTGATTCGATCTTCTTGCAGTCCAAGGGACTCTGAGTACACCCTGCATAGGCATATTTTAATATTAACAGGCCCAGGCTGGCCCGATCATCTGGGAAGCTAAGCAGGGTCGGCCCTGGCCAGTGTCTAAATGGGAGACCACCTGGGGAGTCCAGAGTCATGATGGCACACAGGCAGGCCACGGCCAACCACCACTGAACTTCTCTTGCCTTGACCTATACGGCCCAGGCCAGCCCGATCTCAGAAGCTAGGCAGAGTACATCTGGGTAAGTGCTTGGATGGGAGACCGCCAAGGAAGTGCAGGGTCGGTCCGCAGAGGCAGGCAAGGGCAAAACCGCCTCTGTCTTTTGCCTGGAAAACCTTTCGAGGGATCACCGTAAGTCAGGTGCGACTGGAGAGCACTTTCCACCACCACATATAAGAACATAAGAGACGGCAATGTTGGATCAGGCCAGTGGCTCATCCAGTCCAACACTCTGTGTCACACAGGGGCCAAAAATACCAGGTGCCCTCAGGAGGTCCAGCAGTGGGGCCAGGAGGACACTAGGAGCCCTCCCACTGTTTCCCCCGCCCCCCCCCCAAGCACCAAGAAGACAGAGCATCCCTTGCCCCAGATTCCCTATCTATACCTTGTGGCTCATAGCCACTGATGCACCTCTGCTCCATACTTGAGACCAGAGTTCCCTCTAAGCTGAGTTAGTGTGAGCCTCCTCACAGTTTTTTAGCCTCTGGCTCACACATTTTTGGCTTGGCTCAGGAAGGATGGCTCCAGAGCAAACTAATTTATGCAGTAGCCAAATTGCTCGCTCACAACATTAATGGCAGCAGCTCACACAGTAGAATTTTTGCTCACAGGACTCCACGGCTTAGAGGGAGCATTGCTTGAGACAGTGCTGGTGCAGGTCATGCCTGGTAGCTCGGGTGCACGGGAGGGGAGGCGGACTGGCAATCTCTGTTGTCTCCGTGGGGAAGTGGCTGGTCAGGAGGATGGTGCCCCTGCGTCTCCTGCGATCCGCTTCTGGCCTTTTCTTCGGCAGGAGGTTGCAGGGGAGCCCCAGCAAGGCCGTGGTGTTCCGGCAGCCAAGAAGGGCTGCGTGGTCCAGATGCCAAAGGCTCGCGTTTGGGGGGGCTTGAGTGCAATGCTCCCTCTGAGCTGTGGAGCCTTGTGAGCAAAAATTCTACTTGCTGAGCTGCTGGCATTAAAGTTGTGAGCGAGCGATTTGGCTGCTGCATAAATCAGTTTTCTCTGGAGCCATCCTTTCTGAGCTGAGACAGAAATGGGTGAGCCGGAGGCTAAGAAACTCTGAGCTGGCTCACACTAACTCAGCTTAGAGGGAACACTGTATGTTTTTTTTGGGGGGGGGTGCTGACAAGCTCACCTGTCATCACGGCGCCCTTTCCCCCTTGTCTTCCTTGCAGGCTGGGACAGTGGTCTGGATCGGCATCCTGGTTTACACGGACCCCGCAGGGCTTCGCCCCTACCTGGCGTCGCAAGTCACCGAGCAGAGCCCGCTGGGCGAGGCGGGTCTGCCGGCCATGCCGGTCCCCGGAGAAGTCCTCCCCACGGGCGACACCAAGCTGTCCCTCTCGGTCTTCCCTCCGGACCCGGTGCAGCAGCAGCTGCTGGAGAACCAGACGTCGGAGTCCCTGAGCAGGCAGGAGGCCGGTCGCTCGAGCGAGGAGCGGGAGAGGCCGGGGGGCAGCGGGCAGCCAGAGGTGGGTCCCAAGGCGGAAGTGACCTGGGGAGCAGAGGACGAGGAGATCTGGAGGAAGCTCTCCTTCCGGCACTGGCCCTCACTCTTCAGCTACTACAACATCACGGGAAGTGACCTGGGGAGCAGAGGACGAGGAGATCTGGAGGAAGCTCTCCTTCCGGCACTGGCCCTCACTCTTCAGCTACTACAACATCACGCTGGCCAAGCGGTGAGTGGGGCAAGGCGACGCCGGTGGTGTTTCCGTTGGGGCAGAGGAGTCTGTGCGCTTCCATACTGTGTCCCCAGTGGGGGGGGCTGCTTTGTCTGCTGTCAGGTTGTGTGTGTGTGTGTGTGTCTGCAGGCCTGGCGGTTTTCTTCTTCTGTGGCCTGCAGGGAGCTTTCTGGCCCCTCTGCGAGCGGATGGAGATGCAGACTGCCTGCCAGCGTTTCACGTTCTCCACTGCTTCCTTCGCTCTCTGATGCACCCACAAACACGCTCTCTCTGCAGGATGGGTTTTCTTCTCTTCGTGTACCACTTCATAGCCTAGGAGTACCCAACCTTTTAAAAAAACTTTTCCTTTTCTTTTGTTTTTTGAGTGTGTGTGTGCGTGTGTTGTGTCTGCACCTGGAAGTCACGTTGACCTCTGGTGACTGACGCCTACTGGGGGCCTGGAGGATTTTCGGAGAGGTGGCTGAATAAAGCCTGCCTCTGTCCTCCCGACTTGATATTCCAAGGAAGTCTCCCAACCAGGGGTCATTCCGTAGAAAAAGAGGTGCAGGAGCTCATTAGCATAACTCATTAGCATAACTCGTTTGCATATGTCACACCCCCTGACATCACCGGAAATGTGTCAGAAGACAACACCCACCACTCAGGCTCCACTGGACTGTTTTGGATTGCTAGCTACTGGGGGGGGGGCATGCAGATCTACCCTCGCAGAGGAGGGAGAGCTTGTACCTGAATAAAACTTGGTCTTAAAGGTTCCACTGGACTGTTGCTAGCTACTGGGGGGACGTACATACGTGCAGATCTGTCCTCGCAGAGGAGGGAGAGCTTGTACCAGAATAAAACTTCGTCTTAAAGGTGCCACTGGACTGTTTTGGACCGGGGGGGCCGGAGGGGGGCTCTGCAACTTACCTGGTTGCTTCTTGCTGTGACTGAGGGCTACTGGGAGCAGGGGGCGGGGCTTGTTGCCTGTGCCCGCCCCCCTGGGCTCTTTACTGCCGGAGCTCCGCTCCTGTGTGCTCCTGCAGGAAATGACCCCTGCTCCCAACCAAGTACTAACCACAGTCAACCCTGCTTATCTTCCGAGATCTTCCGAGATCGGGCTTTCCTGGGCTAGCCAGACCAGGGCTGAGTCCCCAAACTTTTTGAGCCTGGGGGCACATTGGGAATTCTGATACAGGGATGTGTGGTGCTGGAGAAGACTCTTGAGGGTCCCTTGGACCGCAAGGAGATCGAATCAGTCAATCCTGAACCCTGCAAGGCCAGAGACTGAAGCTGAAGCTCAGATACTTTGGCCACCAGATGAGAAGGGAGCACTCACTGGAGACGAAGACCCTAATGCTGGGAAAGACTGAAGGTCAAAGAAGACGGGGACGGCAAAGGATGAGGTGGTCAGACAATGTTATCGATGCAACGGACATGGAATTAAGCAAACTCCGGAGCATGACGGAAGACAGGGGGGCCTGGCGTGATGTGGTCCGTGGGGTCGCGGAGAGTCGAACTCGACTGTGCGACTGAACAACAACAGAAAGCTGAAGCTCAAATACTTTGGCCACCCAATGAGAAGGGAGCCCTCCCTGGAGAAGACCCTGATGCCGGGAAAGACGGAAGGTCAAAGAAGATGGGGACGGAAAAGCATGAGATGGTCAGACAGTGTTGCCGATGCAACGGACATGAAACTGAGCAAACTTCAGAGGACGGCGGAAGACAGGAGGGCCTGGCGTGATGTGGTCCGTAGGGACGCGAAGAGTTGGACTCGACTGTGCGACTGAACAACAGCAACAACAATGGCATAACCACAAAATGGCCGCCCCGGGAGGTGGAGCCAGCCACACTCCCCGAGGAAGGTCAAATGCCAGGGGAGGAGTAGTCTGAAAATACACGGGAAAAGAGGAGTGGGAGAGAGAGAGAGAGAGAGAGAGAGAATAAAACCCACACTGTGGTGTCAGGTGCCTCCAAAGCAGTGTTGTTCTGATTTGCATAGCCCGTCAGATCCAGTGGCCAATCAGAAGCTGCCCTAGGCGAGAGTCCCCACCAAGCGGCACCCATTCCCTGCAAAGACCTGGCGGGCACCAGATAAGGTGTTGGCGGGCACTGTGCCCTAGCCGGCGTTCTTGGAGCAACAACACTGACGTTATCGCAGTCATAAGAAGTGATCAGATCCCAGGCAAGAACTGAGCAGCAGCTTCACTGGGCAGGAAGCCCAACCATTGGGGCGCCGTTAGCAAGGGAAGCTGCAGTCACGAATTGGTCCCCCATTCCCCTGTGTCTCACAATGAGATCATTTCTCTGCCCTGCCTCCAACCGGGTGGAACTCTCTGCTGTGTAACATCCATGCCCAGTGTTCCCTCCAAGCTGAGTTAGTGTGAGCTAGCTCAGAAGAAGAAGAGAAGAGATTGGATTTATACCCCATGGCCCTTCACTACCCAAAGGAGTCTCAGAGCGGCTAACAGACTCCTTTCCCTTCCCCTCCCCACAACAGACAGGCACCCTGTGAGGTGGGTGGGGCTGAGAGAGCTCTGACAGAAATGGCTCTTTTTCAAGGACAGCTCTTATCAGAACTACGGCTTGTCCAAGGTCATCCAGCCGCGTGCCAGTGGAGGAGGAGTGGGGGATCAAACCCGGTTCTCCCAGATTAGAGTCCGCGCACTTCACCACGACACCAAACTGGCTGGGAAGATGAGAATGTTAACATACCACAATTCTGTTAAGTCTTGTGGCCTTGACTGGCCAGTTACAGTGGCACATGTCTCTATTAGTTAGCTTAGCTAAAGGAACAATACTACCCTGTGACCATATCAGTTGAAGAAGAAGAAGAAGAAGAAGAAGAAGAAGAAGAAGAGGAGGAGGAGGAGGAGGAGGAGGAGGAGGAGGAGAGCAGTGGAGCTGCAAGGCCGGCGTTGGCGGCCGGGACCATTGGAGACAGGGCGTGTGGCCTTATGACACACTTCCGGTGATGTCAGGGGGTGTGGCATATGCTAATGAGTTATGCTAATGAGTTCCCCTAGCTCTTTTTCTATGAAACGACCCCTGCTGTAGAGAATGAAAGACCCACCTAGGTTACACTCTAAATACCACCCGCGTGACTTCATCAGGATGGCCTCTGAAGACCCTCTCCGTGGATTGGGGATGGCTCCTTTGGTGCAGGGAGCCTGCTTGCTGATGCTGGGAACCTGATGCCAGAGCCTGCTGCTGATGCTCCTGGCAAAGGGTTGCAGCCAGTGCTCCCTCTAAGCTGAGTTAGTGTGAGCTAGCTCACAGTTTTTTAGCCTCTAGCTCACACATTTTTTTCTTAGCTCAGGAAAAAGGGCTCCAGAGCAGTGTTCCCTCTAAGCTTATAAAGCCAATCTCCTCTTCTTCCTCCTATAAATGCTGAGCTGGTGTCGCCCATTTACCCGGCTTGGCCTGCCCTGCCCTTGCCCATGAAAGGTGGCAACAGCCAAGCTTTGCCTTCTCCTCCACCTTTTTTTTGTTTTCTGCACTTGTCCCTCAACCCCTGTCCTTTTTTCTCCCCCAACAGGTACATCAGCATCCTTCCGGTGATCCCCGTAACGCTGTACCTGAATCCACAAGAGGCCTTGGAAGCGCGCCACCCTCAGGAGGCAAATCGCTACCACCCTTTCTTCTACATGAGCAGCGGAAAGGCCGAGCTGCCCGACCCGCTGACCGAAGGCGTGCTGAAGGGTCAGGGGCACCGGGACATCACCCTCTACAAGTAAGAGAGCTGGCCGGGAGGGGCAGGGCGGGGGGAGGGGGCACTGGAGACAGGTCTAGCAAGGCCTCCAGTTGAAGTTTATTTATTTATTTACCTGTTCGATTGATACCCCTCCCCTCCCCAACAAGACGGGCTCAGGGCGGCTTACATAAAATGCACATCCAAGAATGCCATTTAAACATACATAAAACATACATAAACAACCACTTATTCATTTTCCTAAACTGCCGGATCAATTAAAGTCCAAGAGCAAAATTCCTAATTTCGACCCTACCACTACTTCGATGTTAGTCCTGGCGGCGTTCTCACAACAGCTCAGTTTGATCGAGGGAATTTATGCGGCGAGCCAGGCTGCAGGTGGTAGAGCCAGGGCACAGGGTCACTCCTCAGTATTGAAGGCGGCTCCTGATCGAAGGCCTGGTGGAAGAGCTCCGTCTTACAGGCCCTGCGGAACTGTAAAAGGTCCCGCAGGGCCCCGATCTCCTCCAGGAGCTCATTCCACCAGTACAGAGCCGCCCCATTATCATTTAGGTTAGGTTAAGTAAACACTTAGGTTTTACGTAGATCTGACGTAGATATATGTTTCTTTAAATCTGACAAATCAGAGGCTTATTACTCAAATTACCATTGTCTTTTATAACCAATTATGCTTTTTGAATATTGTTTTCATTTTTTGTAACTTTCTTTTTATTAAGTAACAACTTTTTTATAAACAAACAAACATACAACTTTTCAAATACAAGCATATAAATATAAACAAGGTTTTAAATAATTCAATTTAAACATTAACAAACAACCTAAACCTTGGAGCAAGCATACAACAATCTACTTAACCTTCTATAAATCCATCAACTATTCTATATTTAATAAAATACAAAATCTTCATATCTTGGTGGTTTCTTAATAACTTCATTTGGTTCTGATTCTATATAACTAAAAAAGGTAAACCATTTTTCCATAAAATTTAAATTTTTTGTAGGGTTATCTGCCAGCTCAAGTTGTATCGCTATTTTATCTTGGACTATCACATCCCACACTTTGTTGAACCAATGTTTTAATGTTGGAATTACTGGTTTATTCCACTGTTGGGCTAATACAGTTTTGGCAGCCAATATAAGCTGTGCTGCAATTTCTTTGTTCAATTTAGTCATTGTAGAGTTTTCCCAACAGTTTAAAAGTATGGACTCTGGGCTATTTGGAATTTCATGACCCACTATTTTTTCTATTATCTCCAATACTAAAATCCAAAATTCTTGAACCTTAGGGCAAGACCACCAACAGTGCTTAAATGAACCAATATCATCACATCCCTTCCAACATTTCGGTGTAGCAACAGTGTGACTATAATACAATCTCTGTGGTGTCAAGTACCACCTTGAAAATAATTTATAATTTTGAAGTCTATGATTTAATGATTTAGTGGAAAATAGTGGTAAGGACCATACTTTCTTCCATTGCTCTCCAGCTGCAGTTTTACTCGGCTGGGAAAGTTAATGGCTTTTGCCTTGCCTGCTTGCTTTGCCCACGCGAGATGTATCCATTGGCTCACGCTTACAGGGGGGATGTTTGATTCTAGTATAAGTCAGAGGCCCTGGTATTGGCGGCCATTCCTGACACAAGCTGTGCACGTGTCTCTAGTTCTGGATTTACCACTAAACAGTTCTCTTCTCAGGAAGCCCTGTGTTGCGTGACCTGGGTAAGGACCCTGACAGCCAGCCTGACACCCTTGGGGCCTGGGAAGGCCAGCCGTTTTTGGGCCCTTGAACGCAGTGCTCTCTAGGGAATCTATGGGGAAAAGCAGTCCCTTGTGCTGAATCGTGCCGGGGAGGAGAGGGAATGGGGCGGCAGCCAGGGGTGGAACACCTGGGTTGCCTGCAGGAGTTCCCTCCCATCCAGTCCCCAGTTGTTTCTCCGCATGTGGAAACGGGATTCGGGGCTGAGTGAGAGAGGAGCTTCTCTGCCGGAAACGCAGCCTGCCAGTCAGAGGTGACAGTCTAGAGCTAGAGGGACAGATTTGACTCTGTATCGAGCCGCTTCATACGTGCATCGGAGCGTATAGATGTCCTTACAGCCACACAGTAAGTTGGCCACTGGGTTAGGCAGGAGGCTGGACTAGGTGGACCCTCCCTGGTCTGACCCAGCAGGGCTCTTCTGGTGTTCTTCTCAGGGGAAGGCCTCGGCCTCTCTGCCCTGTTGCTGGACTGTGTGATACCGAGTGTTGGACTGGATGGGCCTTTGGCCTGATCCAACATTGGCATCTCTTATGTTCTTTTTTTTTTTTAAGATATTTTTATTACAGTTTTCAAAATAAATCCAACATTCAGCTATTTCTTCATTTCAAAGCATCTCTTATGTTCTCACGTTCTCAGGGGAAGGCCTTGGCCTCTCTGCCCTGTTGCTGGTCCTCTAGAGGAACTGGCTGGCCCCTGTGTGAGATGGGAGGCTGGACTAGATGGACCCTCCCTGGTCTGACCCAGCAGGGCTCTTCTGGTGTCCTTATCTGGGGAAGGCCTCAGCCTCTCTGCCCTGTTGCTGGCCCTCCAGAGGGACTGGCTGGCCATTGTGTGAGACAGGAGGCTGGACCGGATGGACCCTCCCTGGTCTGACCCAGGAGGGCCCTTCTGGTGTTCTGAATTCACTCTGAGCAGGTTCGCTGGAGGGGCAGTGAGGGCATCTTCTAAGCCAATGAAACCCGTTGTTCTGCACAGCTCCCCGTGGCCTCAGAGGGACTGGGTCAGGAAGACCGTCTCACGTCTGACTGGTGCTGCTCTTTCCTTCCTGCCAGGGTAGCTGCTTTGGGCCTGGCCTCTGGGATCCTCCTGGTTCTCTTGCTCTTCTGCCTGTACAAAATCTTGTGCCCCAAAACCTACGGCCAGAACGGGCTCTCGCACAGCAGGAGAAGAAGGGGGGACCTGCCCTGCGACGACTACGGCTACTCCCCGCCAGAGACAGAGATCATCCCGCTGGTCCTCAGAGGCCACCTCATGGTAAGATGCCTTGGGCAGAGGCCAGGCTGCTGAGTGAGAGGGGCTACGTAGCTCACTGGGCAGAGCCTCTGCTTGGCATGCAGGAGGTCCCAGGTTCAATCTCCGGCTCCTCAGAGGCCACCTCATGGTAAGATGCAGGAGAGGGGCCTTGGGCACAGGCCAGGCTGCTGAGGGAGAGGGGCCACGTGGCTCACCGGGCAGAGCCTCTGCTTGGCAGGCAGAAGGTCCCAGGTTCAATCCCCGGCATCTCCATTTAAAAGGACCGGGCAGGAGGTGATGGGAAAGACCTCCGCCTGAGACCTTGGAGAGCCGCTGCCAGTCTGAGTAGACAAGACTGACCTCGATGGAGAGAGGGTCTGATTCAGTCCCTAAGTAGAAGGCAGCTCCATGTGTGTTTGAGGAGGGGCCGTGGCTCAGTGGTTCAGTGGCCGAGCTTCTGCTTGGCATGCAGGAGGTCCCAAGTTCAATCCCCGGCATCTCCATTTAAAAGGACCGGGCAGGAGGTGATGGGAAAGACCTCCGCCTGAGACCTTGGAGAGCCGCTGCCAGTCTGAGTAGACAAGACTGACCTCGATGGAGAGAGGGTCTGATTCAGTCCCTAAGTAGAAGGCAGCTCCATGTGTGTTTGAGGAGGGGCCGTGGCTCAGTGGTTCAGTGGCCGAGCTTCTGCTTGGCATGCAGAAGGTCCCAGGTTCAATCCCCGGCATCTCCACTAAAGATCGGAGGATAGATGGTACGCAGGGCCTCTGCCTGAGACTTTGGAGAGCCGCTGCGGGTCTGAGTAGACAAGACTGACTTTGATGGACCCAGGGCCTGATTCAGTAGAAGGCAGCTCCATGTGTTCTTGTGGGAGGAGGGTTGCAGCAAAGTTTCTCTCAGGAGGGGCTGTGTGTGCATCTGGGTCTTCATCTTTCGTGGAATCCTTTCTGCTATGTGAGATTCAGGCTCCCAGTCACTCTTGACGTGGGTGGGAGTAAGGGGACGCTCGGGGGCTAGAGAAGGGTGGCAGATCTGGAAGGAATGGTGGCTCGAGGAGCGGCATGGCCGGTTTCCCCGCCCCCTGGAAACCTTCCCCCCCTCCCCGTGTACCTTGGGGGCTTCCCAGCTCCCCCCCCCCAGTTTCTGCCCCCTAAGCTTTTTCTGTGGCCGCAAGAGCTTCTGAGAAGCGGAGTGTTGCGCTTTCACAGTTGTATGCAGACATGCCGGCATGCAGTGGGGTTTCCTCGTCGACAGGTGCTGTGCCCAGTCAGGGCCGCCTCCGGACCCTCTTGCTCACCTTCTCCTGCTCTTCCTCTGCAGGACATCGAGTGCCTGGCCAGTGACGGGATGCTGCTCGTTAGCTGCTGCCTGGTGGGTCAGATCCGGGTGTGGGATGCCCAGACGGGCGACTGTCTCACCGTGGTTCCTAAGCAAGGGTAGGTGAGCCTGGAGGGAAGGGGCTGTCGGTCTTGGGAGGGTAAAGGGGGCTCTGGGTTCATGCCTGGCGGTTGTCTGCAGGAGACATTCTGAACAGAAGAGAAGCCAACGTTAGATCAGGCCAGTGGCCCACCCAGTCCAACACTCTGTGTTGCACAGTGGCCAAAAACACCAGGGGCCATTGGGAGGTCCACCAGCAGGGCCAGAACTCCAGAAGCCACCTCACTACAGTTGCTCCCCAAGCACCAAGAATACAGAGCATCACTCTGTATTCACTCGCTGCTGCCACCCACTGGCTTCTACACACCCACTGGCTTCTACACTGCACAGGGATTATTACTGTGATAAGTGCGCTAAACTAAATAATACAGTACTGCAAAAATCAGAAAATATGTGCTGTTTAAATAAGTTAAAGTGATATGCTTTTTTTACAAGGTTGGAATACAAAAATACAGTCAGTTTCAAATAAACAGAAGTGGTTTTTAACGAAGCAAATGATGTTAACGACGAGCTCCGGAATGCCCTGTGTCGTTTCGACATTCCTTCTTCTGAACAAGATTCTATAGATAATTTCCAGTTTTTTGCCTCATCTGTAAGAGTAGAAATGAAGCCTGATGCTCACATATTTTCTCTTCGTAGGCCAATAACAAAGCACAGTTGCTAGTAGAAAATTCATTTCGGGCGAGTTACAGTCAAGTGAGACAAAAAACCTGGAAATTATCTATAGAATCTTGTTCAGAAGAAGGAACGTCGAAACGACAGAGGACATTCCGGAGCACGTCGTTAACATCATTTGCTTAGTTAAAAACCACTTCTGTTTACTTGAAACTGACTGTATTTTTGTATCCCAACCTTGTAAAAAAAGCGTATCACTTTCACTTATTTAAACAGCATATATTTTCTGATTTTTGCAGTACCGTATTATTTAGTTTAGCGCATTTATCACGGTAACGATCCCTGTGTAGTGTAATATCCATATACTATGTACCGTGCTCTGTTTGCTTAAACCCACTGGCTTCCAGCAGTACCCGATGTCTTCCTGGGTCTCCTCGGGCCGGCCGGCTGCCCACCTCCACTCCCCCGCCCTCCCCGGAGTCGTTCTTGGAGGGTCTGCCGCTTGCACAGATGTCTGCCGGCTTTTGGGAGGAGCAAGGCGGCGCAGGGGCTTCCGAAGGGACACCCGCACCCTCCCACAAGGGTCTCCGTCCTGTTACCCGGCCTTGCTCATCCAGTGGTGGCGCTGCACTCCGTTGGCCGTGACCCCCTCACTCTGCTTCCCCCTCTCGCCACTGCTGTGTTTTAGGCTGCGCCGAGACAACAGCGGCATCTTCGACTACCAGGACTGCTGGGACCAGAGCAACGGCAAGGGCGGGCTGGAGAACTCCTTCGACGGCGGCAGCAGCAGCAGCCGCCCCTTCAAGAGGGCGCGGAGTCCCCCGCAGCTACCCCTCTTCAGCGACCAGCCGGACCTGACCGCCCTGATCGACACCAACTTCTCGGAGCAGGCGAAGGCGGCCCCCCCGGAGCCCCGCCACCGCGCCCTCTGCGGCCGCCCGAGGGAGCGAGGCTACGACTTCAGCAGCCTGGTGGAGAAGGCCTACGAGGAGCAGGGCGCCTCCCACAGCCTGAGCTTCGCGGGCTTCTCCGCCCCCTCCGGGCAGGCCGTCTCCCGGTCCCCTGGCGGTGGCTGCGGGGGCGAGGACGGGGAGTGCAGCCCCCGCAGGAGCAGCCTGGTGGACTCGGAGCTTCCGGGGGGCTTGGAGCAGGCCTCCCCCCTCCCCTCGTGGGGGGGCGACTTCGAGAGCTCCATCTGGAGCCTGGAGCTGCAGGGGAACCTGATTGTCGCCGGCCGGAGCAACGGGAGACTGGAGGTGAGGGGGGGGGCCCTCTGTGGCCGGGGGGGAGGGACGGGACACACCTACTTGGGCGACGGAAGTGATTCACTCGCTTCCCAACCAGTGTTCCCTCTAAGCTGAGTCAGTGTGAGCTAGCTCGCTGTTTTTTTAGCTTCCGGCTCACCCATTTTTATCTCGGCTCAGGAAGGAGGGCTCCAGAGAACACTAATTTCTGCAGTAGCCAAATCGCTTTCATGCCAGCAGCTCACAAAATAGGGTTTTTGCTCACAAGGCTCCACAGCTTAGAGGGAGCCTTGCTTGCAACCAGTGTTCCCACTAAGCTGAGTCAGTGTGAGCGAGCTCACCGTTTTTTAGCCTCCGGCTCACTCATTGTGGTCTCCGCTCAGGAAGGGATGGCTCCAGAGCAAACTTAATTTATGCAGCCACCAAATCGCTCGCTCACAGCTTTCATGCCTGCAGCTGACAAAGTAGGATTTTTGCTTGCAAGACCCCACAGCTTGGAGGGAGCGTTGTTCCCAGCTCTCCCTTAGGTTGGAAAGGAGAGATCTTTTGCGGGTTTGAGGGGCAGGAGTTGAAAGGGATTGGGCTCCCTGCCCTAACAGATAGCACCCTTGTGCCTGGATCTGCGGAGTCCCCCCCCACACACACACACCACCAGACCACCGTCTGCCTGGACACGAGCCAGGGGTCATTCGGGAACCCAGGCCCAGCGGCTGTGCACTGCCGTGACCTCATCCCAAACGGAGGAGGAGCCATTCCGGCCGCCTCGTAAAACAGTGTTTTGTCCGAGAGGCGTTTGCTCCGCCAGCGTGTGCGGCTCTGTGGGGTGGCTTGAGGGGCCTTGCCACAGACAGGGGCAAAATGCCTTAAATCGCCCCAAGAGAGGACCTGGCAAAGCCTCTCCTCCTCCCCCCTTCGTGCCGTCTGCAGCTGGGGTGATCTCTGGAGGGGCAAAGTAAAAGGCAAGACAGCCCCCCCCCCCAAGATCAGAGGGGAGGGGTGGGCAGCTGTGGCCTGACTCCAGAGGGAGCACCGCTCATGACTGGGGATGGGAGGGAGCGGGAGTGAGAGGAGGGCGGCTGCCCCATCAGACTCTCCTGCAGGCTGGGGGAGGGCGTGAGGCAGGAGGGCGTTCTGCCTCTGGGCTGGCCGCTGGGGGGAGAGGCTCTGGCCCTTTGCGTCTGGACCGGGCTGCCCTCAGGGTGCCTCGGTGGAGGTGGTGAGCTCCCCCCTCCCCAGGCACTCTTCAAGCAGCGGCTGGACAAACACGGGTCAGGGATGCTCTAGGCCAGTGATGGCGAACCTTTTAGAGACCGCGTGCCCAAACTGCGACCCAAAACCCACTTATTGATCGCAAAGTGCCAACATGGCAATTAAACCTGAATACGGAGGTTCTACTTTAGAAAAAAAAACCACTCATACATTAACTTAAGAGGATCCAAACAAAGTAAGGAAAGCAATCCTAAAGGCTTTCATTGACTTAAAATGATTTGGCAGAGAACCCCCCGTGTTCCAGGTGTGGGACGCCATCGAAGGCACTCTGCAGTGCAGCCACGAAGATAGCCCGTCCGGCATCACTTCCCTCATTTTCCTCAACAGCAGGTACTTCTGTTTCTCATCTGACACCGTGGATAAGTCCACTTTTCCCCCAAGGCCGGCAAGGGAACAAGCCACAAGAAGCCAGGGGAAAAGCGATCCAGCCGAGCCCAGCCAGCCAGCCAGAACCATGGCCAAGGGTGTCAGGCCTCCAGGGCACCGGGTCGGTGGAGCAATGGGTTCCCCCGCACCAGAAATCGGTTTTTAACCAGTCCCGTTCACCCTCCTGGGAAGGTTCCTCCAGCAGGCCGGCAGGGTGAGAGCCGTCCTCCCTGTCCCATAATGAGGGTCCGGCTGCTGAAGGAGCCCCTCCTCTCCCTGGGCAGCACCGGGAAGGACCGGAACCGCTGCACAAGTCCCTGTTGTCGCAGTCCTCCCCGCGGCAGCTTTATCTGTGCCGCAGCTGGTGACGAACGTCTAGTCCACCGTCCTGCTTCATACAGTCAACAACCCGTTGCCCCGGAGGACCAAGCAGGGCACAGAGGCCGAGGCCCTCGCCTGATTTCGCCTCGTAAGCCCTGGGATTCAGAGGTGGCTGCCTCGCAGTATGGAGGTTTCCTTTACACACCACGGCTGGTAGCCACTTGTGGATTTACTCCTCCGTGAACTTGTTTGATTGCTGTTAAATGTTGGGAAATTGGTAAAGATTGTTAGATATTCAGAGGTTGCTATGGATCTTTGTTCACTGGAGAGGAGGCATTTTCTCTCTGTGTAAAAATCCTTATTCCTACGGGAAGGGTACGCAGGAAAATCTACAAAACAATAAACACTTAAGACTACATGCTTGCAACAGCAGACAGACAAAGTCAAGTTGGTAATGGAGATTCTTCCTTTCTTCTTGACCGCTAGAAGGAAATCACCTGAATGCATTAACCAATGATTGTTAGTAAATAGGCTCCAGTTTCCCGGGCCTTCTCCTCATTGGGTTTGTGCCAAGTTCCCTTCCAGGTCACTCTAAATAGCAGCACACAAGGTAAACACACATCAACCCTGTAATGACTTAATTTAGACCTTGCAACACACCTATTTCCAACACTAAAGACATCTTTGCTTGAGGCCATCGCTGCCTCCACAGGCAGTGAATTCCAGTGTGACTACTTGTTGAGTTCCCTCTACCCACCTTCTCCACCCCAGGGCATAGTTTTATAAACCTCTCTCATGTCTCCCGCTCAATCCTCTTTTTTCCTAAGCTGAAAAGCCCCAGAGACTCCTCAGCCTTTCCTCATAGGGAAAGTGCTCCAACCCCCTAATCATCTTGGTCGCCCTCCTCGGCACTCTCCCCAGCTCCTGCGATGTCCTTTCTGAGATAACGGTGACCAAAACGGCACGCAGTGTTCCAAATGCGACCTCACCATAGATCTATACGGGGGCGTTACAATATTGGCCATTATCTTCATTTCCTCATAATTCCCAGCATGGGTTTTTGTTTTTTCCACCGTCACCAGTTGAGTTGAGATTTTCATCAAGCTTTCCACTACAGCCTGAGTCAGACCGGTTTAGGGCTGGGGCTCCCGTTCCCGACCTTCGATGGGGTGCCTTTGGTGCCAGCGTCGGAGGTTAGGAGTTTGGGTGTGCTCCTGGACTCCTCTCTAATGATGGAGGCCCAGGTGGCAGCCACTGCCAAGGCGGCCTTTTATCATCTTTGGCTGGCTTGGCAGTTGGTCCCCTTCCTTGACCGCGATGACCTGGCCACAGTGATCCATGCGACGGTCACCTCGAGGTTAGACTACTGTAACGCTCTCTATTTGGGGCTGCCTTTGTCGCAGATCCGGAAGCTGCAGCTAGTGTAGAATGCTGCAGCCAGGCTGTTGATGGGTCTCTCTAGGAGGGATCACATCCGGCGTGTGCTGAAAGCGCTGTGCTGGCTACCAGTAGCGTACCGGATCCGCTTCAAAGTGCTGGTTCTTACCTTTAAAGCCCTGTTTGGCCAGGGTCTGGCTTACCTAAGGGGACCGCCTTTCCCCATATGTTCCCTCAAGGGCACTACAGTCGGGGAGTGAACATCTGGAAATTCCAGGCCCCAGGGATATTAAATTTGCTGTTACTAGAGCCAGGGCATTTCCGGTGGCGGCTCCTACCTGGTGGAAGGAGCTCCTGGAGGAGATCCGGGCCCTGCGGGACCTTTCTCAGTTCCACAGGGCCTGTAAGACGGAGTTCTTCCGCCAGGCTTTCGAGTAGGAGCCGCCGCCACTACAACTCCACCACCGATATGTATGCAGCATTGCACCACTACCCCCAATATGTGGTTCCATCTGGGTGCGAGGTGACCCTGGAAAGAGAGGGGATGACAGGTTGCGGGGCCAATTGCCATTGGATTAAGATCTACCCCATCTTGCGATAAATGGAGCACTGACACTTTGTTGTTGTATTATATTGTTTTACTGTTTTAGGCTGTTTTATCTATTTTAACTCTGGCACTTGTGCCTCATTGTTAGCCGCCTTTGGGGGAGGGCGGGATATAAATTCAAAAATAAAATAAATAAATAAAATAAATAAAATCCCTTTGAATCTCAGTTTCAGTTAGTTCAGACCCCATCGGCCTATGTTTAAAATCAGGAATTTCTTTTGTTCCAATATGCATTGCCACGTTGTTACCTAGTCACCTAACTTAACGAGGTCCTTCTGCAGCTCTTCACATTGTGATTTGGGGTTTTCACCATCCTGAAAAATCTTTGGTATTGTCTGCAGATTTGGCTTCTACACTGCTCAACCCCCCTCCCCAATCATAATATGAACAAATTAAATAGCATTGTCCCAATACCTATCCCTGTGGGACCCGACTGTTCAATTTGGTGTCGTGGTTAAGTGCGTGGACTCTGGGAGAACCGGATTTGATTCCCCACTCCTCCACTTGCACCTGGCTGGATGACCTTGGGTAAGCCGTAGTTCTCTCAGAGCTGTTCTCTCAAGAGCAGTCCTCAAAAGAGCTCTCTCAGCCCCACCTACCCCACAGGGTGTCTGTTGTGGGGAGGGGAAGGGAAAGGAGTTTGTGAGCCGCTCTGAGACACCTTCGGGTAGTGAAGGGCGGGGTATAAATCCAGTCTCTTCTTCTATAATATGAACTAATTAAATAGCACTGTCCCAATACCTATCCCTGTGGGACCTGACTGTTCAGTTTGGTGTAGGGGTTAAGTGCGCGGACTCTAGTCTGGGAGAACCGGGTTTGATTCCCCCACCCTCCTCCACTTGCATCTGGCTGGATGACCTTGGACAAGCCGTAGTTCTGATAAGAGCTGTTCTTGAAAAAGAGCCGTTTCTGTCAAGAGCTCTCTCAGCCCCGCCTCCCTCACAGAGTGTCTGTTGTGGGGAGGGGAAGGGAAAGGAGTTTGTGAGCCGCTCTGAGACTCCCTTGGGTAGTGAAGGGTGGGGTATAAATCCAATCTCCTCCTCCTCTTCTTCTCCTCTTCATTGCAAAGACTGTCCATTTGTTTCTTCTCTCTGACTCCTGCCGTTTCACCAGATTTAAACCCTTCCTCTAATCCCATGACTGCTAACCCTACTCAGGGATCTTTGGTGAGGGGCCTTCTCAGAGGCCTTTTGGGAGTCCAAATGTCTGGTGTCTTCCGGATGGCCCACTTGCCCGTTAACCTGCTTGAACAACTTCCAGGGGCTGGTGAGGCAGGGCTTCCCCTTCGCCAGAAGTCTTGGCCTGATTTCCCCTTTGCAATCTTCATTCCTCAGCCTGCTTAATAATTATTTTTAATAACAGTTTCTACTCATTTACCTGGAGCAGATATTAGGCTAACTGGCCTCAGTCTCCTGCATCCCCTGTGGACTCGTCGTTAAACATTGCGGTGATATCTCCTATTTCCTAGTCATCCGGCAAGGAGGGACGCTGGTTTTAGTGCTGGGTTATGTCGATGGAAAGTTTTACATTTCCGTTCTTGACGAGCCCTTGGGCGGATGCCCTGTGGATCTGCAGACTTAGAATCAGTTTTCAGCCTGTCCGGTAGTCAGACTGGGACTGGGAAGGTCCAGGTTCAGTTCTCTGCTCTGCCCTGCAAAACGTCGGGTGACCTTGGGCCAGTCACGTACCCTTGGTTTGGTTTTTGGGGGCAGAATGGAAGAGGGGCGACCCTTGTAAATGTGGAGGGAAAGTGCTCTGGCTGGGGTGTCAAATGCCACTCTCCAAAGGGATCCACTGTCCCTGATAGATCAAGATGGGTGGCCGTGTTAAGTCTGTCTGAAAGACTAGCAAAATTGGTGGCAGGGGAGGAGCTTTCTTCGGGAGTCACTGCCGGTGTTCCCTCTAAGCTGGGTGAGTGTGAGCTAGCTCACAGTGTTTTAGCCTCCAGCTCACACATTTTTGTCTTCGCTCAGGAAGGAGGGCTCCGGAGCAAACTAATCTATGCAGTAGCCAAATCGCTCGCTCACAACTTTCATGCCAGGAGCTCACAAAGTAGCATTTTTGCTCACAAGACTCCGCAGCTCAGAGGGAGCATGCTCTCTCCTGCAGGCTAGTCTCTAGTGTGTCCCTAACAGGAAGCGTTTCTAAGTTGAATGATGGGTTACAGGCTGGGGGGGGGCAGTGAGCCCATTCGTGGGGAGGGCAGGGTAGAAATTTAAATAAATTAAAAAAATAAAAATGATATTGTGCTGGAAGCGCGTGAGCCATCCCAAACCCCCTCCTGAAAAAAAAGTCTCCTTCCTTTCTGTGCCCCGTGACTAGGATCGTGGCTGCCCGGCTGAACGGCTCCCTGGATTTCTTCTCCTTGAAAACACACGCTTCTTTTGATCACTCCCAGTATCGAGGTAAGAAGGTCCCTCTCCTGGGGGAAGCTGGAAGCTCCCGGGCGGGGCCCCCCTCTGTGGCTGCTCCTGAAGCACTGGAAAAACCCCCCCCCCCCGCCCCCAGGATGAGAGCTGGGCTGTTCTGGCTTGGGGGGGCCTCCCGGGAACTAGGCAGCCCAGGCCTCAGAGCCCGAATCCGGTTTGGGGGGGGGCAGGTCTGTTCCTCCAGCTCACCTGTCTCCACATCCTCTACTCTTTGTTGAGCCAGTTTGGTGTGGTGGTTAAGTGCGCGGACTCTGATCTGGGAGAACCGGGTTTGATTCCCCACTCCTCCACTCGCAGCTGCTGGATGACCTTGGGCAAGCCGTAGTTCTGATAAGAGCTGTTCTTGAAAAAGAGCAGTTTCTGTCAGAGCTCTCTCAGCCCCACCTACCTCCCAGGGTGTCTGTCTGTTGTGGGGAGGGGAAGGGATTGTGAGCCGCTCTGAGACACCTTTGGGTAGTGGAGGGCAGGGTAGAAATCCAATCTCCTCTTCTTCCTCTTCCTTAAGAGAGCCAGTTTGGTGTAGTGGTTAAGTGTGTGGACTCTAATCTGGGAGAACTGGGTTTGATTCCCCACCCCCTCCACTTGCAGCTGCTGGATGACCTTGGGCAAGCCGTAGTTCTGGCACAGCCATCCTTGAAAAAGAGCAGTTTCTGTCAGGAGCTCTCTCAGCCCCACCTCCCTCACAGGGCATCTGTTGTGGGGAGGGGGAGGGACAGGAGTTTGTAAGCCGCTCTGAGACTCCTTCGGGTAGTGGAGGGCCATGGGGTACAAATCCAATCTCCTCCTCCTCCTCTTCTTCTGCCTTGCGACCCCCCCCCCCCCAGGCTTCTGGGATGAATATCGTGGCGGAATAGCCGACCCCGTGTCTGTCCTTTGTGGGTGTGAAGTGTGGCTGTGCTTTGCCCTGGGCAAAAGGAGCCTGAGAGGCCTCTCTCCCTCTCTCCACAGGGACTCCGAGCAGGAGCAGCCTCCCGTCGTCGTCTCCGATGTACAGCAGCAACGACGTCATCGTTTGTCAGCTGACCCACACCGTGACCTGTGCCCATCAGAAGCCCATCACGGCCCTCAAGGCTGCGGCCGGACGGCTGGTCACCGGGAGCCAGGACCACACGCTGAGAGTGAGTCATCCGAGAGGGACTGAACACGTGGGGTTCACGGCGGTGGGACGGGGTGGCCGCTGCCAGCACAGACCCCGCTTCGGGAGGGGGTTGGATAAACATGTGGAGCAGAGATCCCTTGGTGGCCATCAGCGACAAGGTGTGGAGGTGGAGCCCTCTGTCTGGGCCAGGGGTGCTCTGTGTTCTTGGTGCTTGGGGGGGCCAGAGTGAGAGGGCTTCTGAAGAAGAAGAGGAGGAGGAGGAGGAGGAGATTGGATTTATACCCCGCCCTTCACTACCCAGAGGAGTCTCAGAGTGGGTTCCAATCTCCTTCCCCTCCCCACGACAGACAACCTGTGAGGTAGGTGAGGCTGAGAGAGCTCCTGGCAGAAACTGCTCTTTTTCAAGAACAGCTCTTATCAGAACTACGGCTTGCCCAAGGTCATCCAGCCAGGTGCAAGTGGAGGAGGAGTGGGGAATCAAACCCGGTTCTCCCAGATTAGAGCCCACACACTTAACCACCACACCAAACTGATTGGATTTATACCCCATGGCCCTTCACTACCCAAAGTTGTCTCAGAGCGGCTTACAAACTCCTTTCCCTCCCCCTCCCCCCAACAGACACCCTGTGAGGGAGGCGGGGCTGAGAGAGCTCCTGGCAGAAACTGCTCTTTTTCAAGGACAGCTCTTATCAGAACTACGGCTTGCCCAAGGTCATCCAGCCAGGTGCAAATGGAGGAGTGAGGAATCAAACTCAGTCCTCCCAGATTAGAGTCCGCGCACTCAACCACTACACCAAACTGGCTCTCCTTTCCCTTCCCATCCCCACAACAGACACCCTGTGAGGGCTGAGAAAGCTCTTTCCAGAACTGCTCGTGAGAGAACAGCTCTGAGAAAGCCATGACTGACCCAAGGTCACACCAGCAGCTACATGTGGAGGATTGGGGACTCAAACCCGGTTCTTCAGAGTCCGAGCTCCTAACCACTACACCAAACTGGGGACTCCCCTGCCCCACTCCTGCATCAGTTAGGCAGAGGAGGAGGCACTACAGGTGGCAGCTGGCTGGCCGGCTGATGAGCAAACAGCCCAGGGAGGCAGTGGGACGGGCAAGCTGACCGGCGTGCAGGCAAAGCAGAGCCCTAGAAGAGGAGGCAGGGATGGAAGGGGAAAGCATCAGAAATAGAGGGAGGCACCAAACGTGAGGGAAAGTGTCCATGGGAGGAGCAAGAGAAGGCAGTAGGGGCAGCCAAAATAGAAAAGATCCCCCCCCCCAGCAAGTGTTGCAGGTCCCCACATGTACTGTTTTAATTGTTGTTACCTGCCTTCAGTCCAATTTTGTACAAAAGCAAGGTGGGGAGTCACGGGGCGACTGGGGGGGGGCGAGGGGGGAGCTGAAGATTGGGGAGGGGCCCATGGGCTCCACAGTAGCAACGGGCCTGGTCCGTGCCCTGTGCCTCAGAGCTGCACAGCCCAAGAGTAACTCTCTGGGAAACCCACAGATTGCAACAGAGAGGGAGGGAGGGTCCAGGAGCCACACCTGCGCAGGACCCTCCGCCCCCACTTGACGGCCCTCCTCTCGTCCGTTGGCAGGTGTACCGTCTGGAAGACTCCTGCTGCCTCTTCACCCTGCAGGGTCACTCGGGAGCCATCACAGCCGCCTACATCGACCAGGTCAGGACCTCACACCTTTGCGGGTTGGGATGGGAAGGATGAGGCAGGGGTGGGGAGGACGGTGGGCTCATTGGGCGTGCTGGAAAGGAGGGGGGCTGGGCCGCAGGGGTGGGGGGCCCAAGTCCTGCCCCCAGCACCGCCACGCTTTCCGAACTCAGCTTCGCCACAGAGGAGCAGAGTGCCGAGCGTGCCCTAGCAGATGCTCAGGGACCCAGCTCGGCTTTCGAAGCCCCTCTCTGTCCGTGATGCACCCTTTAAAGAAACTGCTTATTGCACCACCAGAGAAAAGGTCACCTTCTGTATATCATTTAACCTGGAATTGCAGGTGTCTGGCTTCTTAAGAATAAACAAGTTCAAGGCCCCGTAACGCTCGGGAAGAACCGGGTTCAGAAGGTGGACTTAACACGAATTCTAGTCCGTTTGTTTGTCCCTGGTCCTTGGCCCCAAACTAAGCCATGGAAAGGCCTCGTTTAGCCATGCGTCACAAAGTATGTCACACACACACCTGAAGCCTGAGTCGCGTCATTGGCAAGCCCCCAGGAGGGCCAGCCTCCCTGCTTCCTTCAGGTAGAAGAGGAGACTGGATTTATACCCCATGGCCCTTCACCACCCAAGGGAGTCTCAGAGGGGCTTACAAACTCCTTTCCCTCCCCCTCCCCACAACAGACACCCTGTGAGTAGCTGAGAGAGCTCTGACAGAAAGTGCTCTTTTTCAAGGACGGCTCTTATCAGAACTACGGCTTGCCCAAGGTCATGGCTTGCCCAAGGTCATCCAGCAGCTGCAGGTGGAGGAGTGGGGAATCAAACCCGGTTCTCCCAGATTAGAGTCCACGTACTTAACCACGACACCAAATGGCAGGGAAAAACTGTCTTTCCTCAGGCTGAGAGAGGGACAACCCCCCACCCCCACCCCACCGCCAAGGAACGGCAACCCTCCGAGTGTGGTCTGGATCCCATCGGTCTCGTCCCCCTCCTCCCCTTGGAGCGGGCGGGTCTTTTAACTCCCTTGGAAGTGTTCCGTTGCATGCTGTCCTCGGCAGCGGCACCAGACGGAGCTCCGGCTCACTTGCCCTCTGCCTTTCAGACCATGGCGCTGGCCAGCGGAGGCCAGGACGGCGCCATCTGCCTCTGGGACGTGCTGACGGGCAGCAGAGTGAGCCACATGTACGCCCACCGCGGGGACGTCACCTCCCTGACCTGCACGAGCGCCTGCGTCATCAGCAGCGGCCTGGACGACGTCATCAGCATCTGGGACCGGAGCTCTGGGATCAAGCACTACTCCATCCAGCAGGTGCGCGGCAGGGAGGGGGGGGCGCCGTCCTCCGAGCAGGGTCCCAGGAGCAGGGGGGGGGAGAGAAGGGGCGGCGCAGCGAGCTGGTGGCTGGATCTGTGTTAATTCTTCTGACTGACTGTGTTTGAAAATGCAGACTCTTTGTCAGGTGGTCCAAACAATGGAGCATAATTTTATGCATAGAGATGAGACTGGGAGCACCCACTCCCTGCAGCCGGCACACCTGGTCCCTTTACTCCACTTCCTTTGTATGGAGGACACTCTGTCTCCAAGAGGCAAGGCCTTTGCCGGGAGATATAAGAAGAGCCCGGCTGGGTCAGACCAGGGAGGGTCCCTCTAGTCCAGCATCCCGTCTCACACAGGGGCCAGCCAGTTCCTCTGGAGGGCCAGCAACAGGGCAGAGAGGCCGAGGCCACCCCCTGAGAAGGACACCAGAAGAGCCCTGCTGGGTCAGACCAGGGAGGGTCCATCTAGTCCAGCCTCCCGTCTCACACAGGGGCCAGCCAGTTCCTCTGGAGGGCCAACAACAGGGCAGAGAGACTGAGGCCTTCCCCTGATGTTGCCTCTGGGCCCCAGGATTCAGAGACTTAGTGCCTCCGAACGTGGAGGTTCCCCTCAGCCACCACAGCTAGTAGCCACTGATAGACTCCTCCTCTATGACCCTATCTAATCCCCTGTTTATGCTGTGTATTTCTGTGGCCATCAGTACCTCCTCTGGAAGTGAATCCCACATTTTCAACTCTGTACAAAGAGTCCTATTTCCTTGTGTCCCTCCTGAACCTACTGCCCGTCCACGGGGTGCCTTTGAGTGTCTTGGGAGAGGGAGAAGAAGTCCCCTTTGCCACCCCTCCCTGCCCCACACAGAGTGCCACTCATCTGCAGTCTCCGCCTCTCTCGCAGGACATGGGCTGCGGGGCCAGCCTGGGCGTCATCTCGGACAACCTGCTGGTGACGGGCGGCCAGGGCTGCGTCTCCTTCTGGGACATCGGCTACGGCGACCTGCTGCAGACGGTCTACCTGGGCAAGAGCAACGAGGCCCAGCCGGCCCGGCAGATCCTGGTGCTGGAGAACGCGGCCATCGTCTGCAACTTCGGCAGCGAGCTCAGCCTGGTCTACGTCCCCTCTGTGCTGGAGAAGCGCGACTGAGAAGGAGCGTGGGGGGGGAGGGGCCTCCCATCGGGGCACGGGCCTCCTGGCATCGGGTAGCCACCGAGTGCGGCCTCCCTGGCCCCACACACAGTGGGGGGGGGAGAGAGAGGGGGCCTCCTGCTCCTGGCTTTCCCTCTAGGCTTGGATTGCAAGCACACCATCCGTAGGAGAAGGGGGAGACGTGGGCGCCTGAAAGGGGGCACAGGGGTCACTGTGAGCCCTTGTGGCCCTAGCAAGTAGAGTAAAGGGGCAGAGAAGGTCCCCCGTGTGCCACGGGGAGGCGGTCCTGTGAGCTGTGGCGCCCGTCCACTGTGGCAGGCGCAGCGGCGGCCTCAGGCCTGTCCGAAGATGGGAGGCGTTTGCCCGCTTACTGCTCTCCATAAAAGGAAGGCCTCCCTCCTCGGAGGAGGCGGAGCTGGGAAGAGAAGGGTCCGCTCCGGCTGTTCCCCAAAGATGAGTCCATAAGGGGGGTCTGGCTCCGTGGCTGCCTGGAGTCCTCCTGCTGTCCTGCTGACAGGGAGGGGGGTGGGAGGAGCCCCCTGGAGCCCAGGCCTCCGGGGCAGTGGGGCCAGAGAAGCCAGTCCGGCAAGCGCCCCACAAGCTTGGCTCCGTTCCCGCTTAAGCCCACCAAAGGCCCGGCCGCCCCTTCTAGCAATAAGCCCTCTTTGGCCGGCATCCCGCCCCCGCCTGGCCCAGGGAGGGAGCCCGTGGCACCGCTGGCCCTATTTATTGATGTGCTGTACATATTTATTTATTGTGGCAGGACGGGGGGAGGGGGGCTTGGCCGGAGACCCCGCAGGGGCAGCGCAACCCCACCCGCTTTGTTCTCCCGTGCATCGGCTTTCCCACCGGGGAGGGAAAGGGTCCTGTCGAGGTTGTGGCACGTCCCCCTTTCCTGCGGTTCTGGCACTGGGCCCACCCGTGGCCCCCGAAAGGGCCACGGGGGTCTTCCGCCCGCCCTTGGTCAGTCTTGGTAGCGCCAGGAAGCAGCCCAGCACCAGGGGCAAAAGTCTAGCTTCCACTCCCGCCCACGAGGGACGGCCGGTACCTGGCCAGATATGCATTTGGGGCTGCTTTGGACCTCGGGCGGGGGCTCAACTAACAGAAACAAGGGGGGGGGAGGCAGAGAGGAAGGAAGAGGAACTGGAAGAACCCATCCTGTGTTTCCAGCTGTGGAAACTATCGAAGTCTGTTTTTTTTGTTTTTAATGCCGGTTAGTGTAGTGAAGGATGCTTTGGGATTAATCTGCCGTCTTCTGCCCTGCCCTCCCCAGCTGGGCTAGTGCTCCTGGGGGGGGGCGGGCGAGGGAGGGAGGCGGCAGTCCCCGACTGGCTCCGTCACTGCTCTCGTGGTTCCTCCCCCTCGTGGCCCCTGCCGATCCCCGTCGTCGTCCGCGTCCACCCCAAGATGTGCCTCCGGTGGCCTTAGCTCTGCTGTACCCTTTGGACTGTACGGTGGCAGCAGCTTTTGTACCAGGTTGTGTTTTCTAAAGTGTACAGGTGCAGACACATTAAACAGAACTAACTGAAGCCTCTGGGTCTGCTTGTTTGGGGCGGGGGGAAGGAGAGGGAGAAAAGGCAAAGTGGAGTAAAGTTCGGAGTTTCTGCTGGTCTCTCTTGGGGCCGACCAGCAGTGTCTCAGCAGTGCCCTGAATGCTGACGCAGGGGAAACAGCAGCCTCCAAGTGGCATTCATAGAATAATAGAGTTGGAAGGGGTCCGTACAGACCATCTGGTCCCACCCCCTGCCCAATGCAGGACCGGCCTAAAGCACCCCTGACAAGTATTCGTCCAGCCTCTTCTCGAAAGCTGCCAGTGAAAGAGGAGCTCACCCACCTCCCCAGGCTCTGATTCCCCCTTTGAACCACTCTGACCATGAAAAAGTGTCTCCTAATATCCAGCCGATCCCTTTCTGCATGT